TCGTCAGTGAACAGAACTTGTACAACTCTGTATCTTTAAGGTTTTTTTCTCCCTGTCAGAAGATGTCAGTGGGCTTACAAAAAGTGTGGCTGACTTTCACATCCTGTACCCATGTCTTCAGTAATGGGATGTTAACCTAGGTTACCTAGCTTGATGGCTATGTAGTGATAGGAAGCCTGTTACCAAACTGTTCACCTCTCTAGTTTCTTTCTCTCTTATTATCTGAATGGATACTGTCTCAACTGGCCCATGTCATGTCACAATAATAAAAAATGGTTCAAATGGATGGCTTAACGCAGATGTCGTTACACATGTCGTGACGTCGCGTATTGCGGTTAGGAAAAAGGAATGAGCACGCCTTCAACATGGCATGGTAATGTTGTTGTTATTAAATGTTGTTTTTTCGGAAACGAGCCTTTATTCTGTCTCGAATGATTGAGCGAACCGCGAACTACGAGAGCAACAACAGATTGTTAAAATTTAATATTTTACTATGGCTTAAAGATGGTGCTGGCTGTTACTTAAACCTACCCCTTACTCAGGCTTACTCCCCTTCCAAACTTTACTCTCCCTTCCTAACTTGAGCTCAGAAAAATTACTCATATATCATAACTGAGGAGTAAAATAACAGTAAATTACTAAAATAATTCTGCAGCTGGGTGAGTGGGGAAATTATGGATATCTTCTGGTCTATGCTGTTCTTCGGCTTGATCCACTAAGGCTGATGTAATTTTCAGTGAAATATTGTTACAGTCAAGTTACTTAGAAGCCATGAGTAGTTTAAATATGCAATACATCAGACTATGTGCATATACGTTCTTCTTTTTTTGCCATAATACTTCGAATTTACCAGACATGATCATTATGCCTAGTTTTTTGATAAATGTTGGTGACAGCAATAAACATCTCACAATCATTTCAGGATTGCGTGTGATTTAAAACATAAGCATTTCCTTGAGTAATATCTTAATAATTAGATGTTATCAGTGCATCATAAAACTTAGGGGATTTTTTTCCTTTGAAGAGAAAGCACTTTACCATTTAAATCAGCAAATTATGTAGATCTGAAGTTATGATTTTTTCAGTTCTTGCCATGACACTACAAAAGACAATAAAAATTTCAAAATAATTTAATGGTGGCATTCACCTTTGCTCACAGAAATATCTGCTCACAGATATATATATACTTAGATATATATACTTTTTACTCAAATATTGTAACATAAGATATGTATTTTTTATCTTGTGAGTTAATAAAGACTACTACTACTACTACTACTACTACTACTACTATTCTGTACATAATTGAAGCTTTGAGAAAAGTCTTCTTTCTTTACTGTTTGAATCAGTGTCTTATGTCAAAATTGCAAAGCAGGCAAGCTGAGGAATGCAATACCTTGAGTTATTCAACAGAATGATGTAGCCAGAATGGTGTCCTGTGAGAAGTAACTCCAATGTGCCCTTGACTTGCTTTTTACCTGGTCAGCTGAATCTAACCTGTGCTTAAACCTAACAAAAACAAAGGTAATGATGTTCTCAACCAAACAGCTTGCTCATGTACACAGTCTTGAGGACTATCAGTTGCTTCACAGCACAAATGGAATTAATTTTGAGAAGGTAACGTCAGCCAAACTCCCTGGATCAGAGCTACATGAGCACTTAAAATGGAACCATGACACTCTGCCCAAAACATCAGCATGTTACAGCATGTTACAGTATGCTTGCCATACTCAGAAAAATGAAGCATTTCACATCCTTCCATGTAAGAAAACAATTGGCTGAATGCCTTGTTCTGTCAAGAATTGGTTATAATGATGTTCTATTCCATCAAGTACCAAATTAGTTAATTAATTGGCTGCAGCGGCCCAGCTAGCAGCTGCTAGATTCATCACTGGCAGATATGCAGACTTCTCAGATATCTTGAAACTGGGCTGGCTACCTGTCAAATGTAACATGAACTGGAACTTGTGCAAACTTGTATACAAGGTGCTCAATTGTGAGAAGTGGCCTCCATATCTCCCCTTGGAGGTGCATGTTTATCAGCACCCTTTGGGATCCACATCAGTACTCAATTTAATTTCTCACCAGTCTCTAGGACCTTTTAAGACTGCGCAACAGAAGTGTCCAACAAACTGCTAAAGAATGTAAAGGAATTAAGAAATTTTAAAAAAATTGTTCAAGAATGTAAATGCTATTTCTTTTTCACAAGTGAAAGTGGCAATACATCTACAATAGTAATCAGACAAAGTCATTCTTAGTATAAAAGTTCATCATCACTGTTAACTTAATTGCCTTAGTATTTGTATATAATTATATTAGTCAGTATAGTAACTTTTAAATATGTAAGCTTGTCTTTAAATAGAAGTCTAATAGTAAATTTTATCTGTAAAATGCAGTATGCAGTTTTAGTGATTTGTAATAATGACTTAATAATTGTTTAATAATGATTTTAATAATGATGTAACTAGTTTGTAGTTAAATAATTTGGATATATCAACAAAGTTGAAATGGTTAATTGGCCACCATAACGATTACAAAAGCTGACGTTTGGAGCGTTAGCCCTTCGTCGGAGCGAATGACGAAGGGCTAACTCTCGAAACGAAAGCCGTAAAAATCTTGAACAAAAGCTCATCTTTCAAACCGGCAGTCTAAATCCCACAGGGATCAACGAACGCTTTTCATTCCACTAATTTATTCTTGTTTTTCTCGTTGCCATGTTCCCACCAATAACGTAGCTCCATTTTCTGCCTTTAAAAGCACACACAACCCACAATTCCTCTATTCGCTCCGACGAAGGGCTAACGCTCGAAACGTCAGCTTTTGTAATCGTTACGGTGGCCAATTTACCATTTCAACTTTGTTGATATATCCAAATTATTTCATTACTCCCACCGACGCAGCCCCAAACAGTTTCTTTCGAAACTATCAGCCTTTATTAGTTTGTAGTTAGTTTGTCGCATAAAAGAACCAACCCTTGAATGGATGCATTAATAAACCGTTATTATTATTTTATATTATTTTTATTAGTAATAGTAATGGAGAACGATGGATCCATGGAATGATGGAATATCTTAATTGACTCATGGAATGAAGGAACTAAAGTCTCAAAAAAATGGAATTGCAATGAAAGTAGAAAATTATTGACAATCAACATGTGAAGTTAAAAGAAGCATGGGTTGGTAATCATTGTTGGAGCCTAGAGGATAAGGGATCGGATTTGAAATAGCCCCTTTAAATTATCATTGTATTCCTATTGTTATCCATCATTATTGTTAATATTGTTATTTGTGACTGTATAATTATTGTTTAAATGTCAATCAGACAATGCAATCTTGAGTCATCTTTCTCTCGTGGAACAGTGTACTCATTAATATGAGAGATTTTTGCTGAAAAGTGCATTCCTAACCTTTCCATTGATATATGGTTTATGGTGGTTATGCTTCAAAAAGCACGTCAAAATTTTCTTTTTTTTGCGAAGGACACCCGTGATGGTCTACCGTATCATTAATTTCGATCGTAAGAAATGTTGCAATCAAACCCACTCGTCAGTAAGTAGTAATAACTGCAATTGTAAAGTAATTGTAAAGGAAATCACTGTGAGTTAAATAACTATGTATTAAGAAATCGAAAGTGAAATAAAGTTTTCATTGTAGTTTTGACCCTAATTGCGCCCCACCTGTATACTCCTTTTATTTTAAGTCACGCGATTGATATCAGGTCAAATATTGGACCCCGCTCACTCGTTTAGATCGTGGAATGGTTTTAAATCATGAGCTTGCATTAACACGTTCACGAATAAGTGAGTCTACGAGCGCGTGAGCGACACAGTATCGAAAACGAGAAAATTTTATATACGGATAATTTTTCTATAAACATATACGAAGAAAGGAACATGAACATTTTGTTTGATGGTTTAAAACGCAAAACGCGGAAATTGCATGATGAATATTAATGTTCTTGAATAGCGCCGCATGGGCAAGTCAAAGGTTGGAATATTATCCCCAAGAGGAACCTGCTATCAAACACTTCATGCAAGTTGAAATGAAAGGCCTCTCGGATGAGGTAGCGGGAGCACAGGACGCCCGCACATGCGGCGTGTCTGGTCGTTTGTTCGAAATATAAAGAAATGTTTGGGAGAATATTGAAAAAGTCGTAATATCGTAAACTTATATCAAGGAATGTCTATGTTAAGGCTTTAAAAAAATGTAAATCTACCTCACTTGCTGTGTATTGTCGTGAGTGATTTGGTGGGTTTTGCGTTGACTGTTACTTTACGTTATAGGAAGGAGAGCTAACGTAAACAGTCAACGCAAAACCCACCAAATCGCTCCAATTCGCCATTTTAAAACCCCAGAAACGACAATATACAGCAAGTGAGGTAGGTTTACATTTATTTTGAGCCTTAACATAGACATTACTTGATATAAGTTTACGATATTACGACTCTTCAATATTCTCCCATACATTTCTTTCGAACAAACGACCAGACGCGCCGCTTATGTGCGCTCCCTGTGGCGGGAGTTCTGTGATTTGGCCATCCACAAAACCCCTTTCACTGAGAATGTGATGAACTTAACCGAGTTTAGCCAGCGACTGAACAATAATTCTCGTGTAATAAAGATAATATTTCATTGTTCACTGTCATATGTATTCCACATGGCTATGTATCAGCGAATCGTAACTGGCAAACAATGTTATTTGGTTTTGATTATAACTGTTATGGGAGCGATAGCTGTTCACGGAGAAATTATTTTTGTGGCCCGGTAAAGTGTACTTTCTAGTTTTATGGCCAAAACAGCTTTTTTGTTAGTTGAAGAAATAACAGGATTAAATTATTCTGCGTTACTACTTTTTTACGAAAGCTATGATGTGAGATTTGGATTATTTTGGTTAGTGACGTCTCCACCGACTTCCGGTATGGTTGGTAAGACACTTTATAGCGAATCCTATGACGTACTCTCATTTGATATGGACAAGCTGCGGTCCTTATGTGGCACTAATAAGAATCGAAATTTGTCCCGCATACTTCCTTGTTTAATCCTTCGTTGGAATCCGTGGTAAACAGACCTCTGGATGATTACAAGTTATGGAGTCATTCTCAATAATATGGTATTTATTTTTGCTCGTCAGCGTTCAGCTTCTTGTCCGGAAAGCAGGCGAGTATCTTTTCTTAATCATACTAACCTTTGTATTGTTTGGGAAGGGAACGTTCAATGAATTGGCGTATCAACGTATTTTCAGCAACTTCAGCTTACACCTAAAACTACTTTTTGTGAACTACCTTACCACGCATTTTCTGTAATTGCATACCGGTCGCCAAACTCTAAAAGGAAAAACGTGGTGTATGTACGTTTGATTATCACTACTTATTAACTTCGTGAGAGTGAACGCTCGCTGATCTGGAAATATCGAGTTGCTATGGTAAAGTTGCTAGTTAACTGTAAAGCCTGGTTTTCACTAGCGACTCATGCAGAGACGCAAGTGCAACAGCTCATATTTAGCCGTGATAACAGTCTCGACGCAAACATAAACACAAGCACGAGGAGAACGATCAGAATTTTTTCCTTTTCTTGTGCACATGCTACCGCTTCTCTTAGTCGACGTTAGTCTTCACTTCGCCTATTTACCTTACTAATTAAAACCAAGCCTAAACGTAAAATTTGATGTGATGTGACGCCGAGAATGACGTTTTAAGCAACGCTCTGAATGTTATTTTGTAAATGCTGCATTTGATCGACCACTTTCATTTGGATGATATCGAAACCAAATTAAGACGACTGTACATGGAACGTACTACTGCTTAATCGGTTGATTGGGATTTTTTAGGATTTTGATGTTCAGCTCCTGTCGGATTGAAAGATGTCTGGTGCACAATTTTACCCAAACACTCTGACATTGTCCCGTATTTAATTTGAATTCCGGCGTTCGAGTTTGCATGAGTTTCAGTTATTGGGGAGAATCGAGTCGACGGCGCTGTATTAAACGAAAACCAATGCCGTTTCTGAGAATCGCCCATCCTTCACTTTGCGTCTCGATCAGATGGGATCTGTTTTATCCTTTCTCATCCACCCACGTAAGTTTACTCGCAGTAAGAAAGTGTTGTATTTTAGTACAACTCACGTAGTTTGAAAAAGCTCTATTCATAAGTCAAACTTACTTTGAACAAGATTAAATTCGATCGCTCCATGTTTATATCATGTCTTGGTTCAGTGGTGGGTTTTTCGAGTACAGTACTTAGTTATGCTTTTCTCGATTCGCTTCACTGTTAGTCACTGTAAAAAAGAATAATTTATGTGCATTCTTTTTTTTAAGCGTAGATGTGGTGCTTTTTGTAGTCATTTGATTCTCTGTGTATAAATACTGTTTGCTGTTGCAAGTTTTTTTCTCTCTATACTCAATTAGCATTATTCTGTTTACGCAAACATGAAAAAGAATCATGAAATTGAAAACTCTCGTTTTCAGTAGCCACTAACATTTGCAAGCACAACCCACAGTCATGTGCTTTTTCTAGATTTAACCAATCACAGCATGAAAGCAGAATTATGTGATTGAAAATAATTTCACCTCAGTGAACAGGAACTTGTAAGACATCAAAACTTGAACTTTTCCCTGTTAGAAGGTGTGAGAATGTAGGCTTGATAAAGGTGTGGATGATTTCACATACCAATGCTTTTAGTAATGGAATATTTGTCCGGGTAGTACATGTTAAGTGCTTGTAACAACTAGAGAAACCCATCTTTATACAAACTCAACAAGTTTACTCGTACTTCAAAATAACAAGCTGCAAACAGGGATTACAAGCTGGCAAGCCATAATAACCTGTACACCATGCAAAGCTAGAGTTACCTTGGTTACAAAAGAAAATTCTGGTTATGAATGAGCACATTTTCTTTCAGGAGCGCTTCATAAAACACAAAGAAAAAACACACAAGGCATCATAGTATTATGTAATTGCAAAAACTGGAATGAGGAATGGCTGCAACATATTTGAAAAACAAAGTGTAAAACCTACAAATTTCTCACAATTATGAGACCTATGTGGTAGATTTACTTCCTAGAATTGTTGTCTACTAGAATTTGCATAGCTTTGTGTTGAAAATTCTGAAAATTGTGTGTTAAAATCAAAATCTTGTATTGAACAACTCTTTAAATAACACTTCAAAATGATATTTTCAGTTCTTATTAACCAAGCAGGAGCTCCGTATGGGAGAATCTTGACCGAGGTCGCCAGTACAGACCAAACGCAGTGAGGTCTGTACCAGTGACTGAGGTCAAGATTCTCCTATACAGACCCACCTAGCTCGGTGAATAAGTTGTTTATTATATGGCTGTGTCTTATATGCCAATTTTTTATCATTTCTTTGTACCTTTTTTTTCTAGACCGGTCTAGATGCCAGTCTGGATGGAAAATCTAGACTGCTTTCAATATTGATTTCAGCCAATCAAGTTCGTGAATTCAGTAGTTCCCAGTGCTTGTGAGACACAGCCATATAATAAACCCTGATTGAAGAGTCCTCAACGTCACTAGGTCTGAGTTAAAGTAAAAAAAATTCAGTTTTTTTTTTCAGCCCTGATTTGCATTGTGTTTGTGAATGAAGTATTGTCAACTCCAACACTAATTTCATCACTTTGAAGAGCTAAATGCTGAGCGATAGCTTTGGAAAAAGTATTTTTTAGCATAATTTATTGTCATTTTGACAATTGGGATGGAATGGAAAACAATCTTGAAAGTTTTGATACCTTGTGGCTAAACTCAACTGCAACTTTTCACCAACAACGAGGTCAGCCTGAACCATCTCTTTGAACCATCCATTTCTTTTGCATAAAATGTGAGCCAATCACAGCATGCTCCATATTATTTCAAACATAATTGTTTTTTTCACTCATTGTAAACCAGAGAGGGATGACTGGTTTTGACTGAAGTAAACAGACTTCGAACGAAGTTATCATGGAATTAAGTGACCAGATATCAGCTGTTCATCTGGGGAGGGTACAACTCTTCTATTTGTAAATTTTTTATTCCCATGCACAATAATAGCAACACGTGCTAAAGTGCACAATGATTGCAACAGGTTAGCAAACTGTCTGTTCTTGAAGGGCTAGTATTTCTTTATGGATTCAATTTGAGTTTAATCTTTTGCTGAATTAATCAAACTGAAATGAGTTAGGTAGCTTTAATGCAAGTCAATAACTGAGAAAATTTTTCTGATTAAAATTGAAATAAGTCATGCATTTACTACAGATCATTGCATTTATGTTACATCTGCGACTGGAAAATGAATCAAATTTATTAACATTTCTAGTGAGCCTTGTCAGTTGTGGAACACATCTACATCTGAATGTACTTGCTTTCTTTGCTTTGTCTTTCCACAAATGAGGTTTTCTCACTTTTTCACTTGCCTCAAATTTCACTGTGGTGAGTCCCTTAAACATGGTCCTACAGTAGGGTTGGACACTTAATTTAGAGAGCACTCGCCATTGGGGTGAGTGAACCTTAAAAATTAATGCACTCACCCGGACCAGTTTTCACTCACCCAAAAGTTTACCCCCACCCCTACGTCTTTCCAACTATTTAAGGCATCTTTTATTTTTACTATACTGAATGACCATTGAAATTGATTTCAACACTTAAAGAATATCAAAATGTGCCACAGTAAATAGGAAGTTTCAGTTTCTCTTCACAGCAGTTCTTCTTCCTGTTTGTTTAGCACCATCTCCTCTGACATCTCAGCCTCAGAAGATGGGCTACACTTTTCCGGCGGGTCTAAAATGCAGGTCACAGGTCACTGGTGATGGGTCACAGGTCATGGGTAACAGGTCACCGGTCACAGTTCATGGGTAGCAGGACCTGTCTACGTAGACTTATCAGTGAGCGTTTTTAATGTGAAGACGCAATCGACTGTCCCGTGTATTCTTCGAAAAACAATCTTGTTGGAATTAAGCTTTTCAGTTTTCTTTTTAGCAGCTTCAGTTGGACCACAAACAAAGTCATGTGTCCAAAACCTATGAGTCTGAAAACACTCAAAAATCCAGCGGAGTTGTTCATTGCGTGACGCTCTGAATGTTAAGTCTCACAAAATTCGATGTCCAGGATTCATGGCCATACATGATGGATTCATTGAGCTATGAGGTAAGAGACTAAATTATTCTGGTTGTTCATGCTGGACAAACAATAAATTTGTTTGAGATTCAGGACTCAATCATTTTGGCGTCAAGGTCAGTATGAATGAAACATACGCTGTGGCTATATGACCGATATTAAACTGGTCAAAGTTTTCAACCTAAATGACCTGCAGTCCTATATTCTCCTTAAATTTCGCAGATCGAAAAACACAGCTAATCTAAACTGTTGTATGTCGCCACTGAATTTGTTTGTGGTCCAACTGAAGCCGCGGAAAAGAAAACTGAAAATTGCACTCGCCAAATGGGTGAGTGATAGAGAATTTGCGCTCGCTTGACACTTTTCACACTCGCCTGGGCATGCGGGCAAGTGCTAATGTTCAACACTGCTAGAGTATGTAAGGGTCATCAGATTAGTCAGGGATTTGAGAAAAATTACATGTATGTTAGTAATTGATGTTGAATACTATCACAAATCATGGTTTGAAGGTTAATAACAAGTTTGTGAAGCTCCGAGTTACTGCAGAGAGTTGCAGATTCTTACGTTGACATGTTGAATACTATCGTAAGTCATGGTTTGAAGGTGAATAACAAGTTTATGAAGCTCTGAATTACTGCAGAGAGTTGCAGATTCTTTTGTTGACATTGTGATCTGATGTAAACACTGAATAAAGGCTGATAGTTTCGAAAGAAACTGTTTGGGGCTGCGTTGGCGTGGGTAACGAAATAATCTGGATATATCAACAAAGTTGAAATGGTAAATTGGCCACTGTAACGGTTACAAAAGCTGACGTTTCGAGCGTTAGCCCTTTGCTCCGACGAAGGGCTAACGCTTGAAACATCAGCTTTTGTAATCGTTATGGTGGCCAATTTACCATTTCAACTTTGTTGATATATCCAAATTATGATGTAAACACTGTTTGACATGATTTATCACACCAAAAGGAGTTTCACAGAACATATCCAAGGTCTTGAGAGATGCAGTGTTGAACATTAGCACTCGCCCGCTTGCCCAGGCGAGTGTGAAAAGTGTCGAGCCAGTGCAAATTCTCGATCACTCGCCCCTTTAGCGAGTGCAATTTTTGTCATCAAAATAAAAAATGTTTTTACACTCCATTCTGGCAAGAAAATTCCTGAACATAAACTTACCATTTCTATTTTACAAAGTTTTGTATTCCGAAAGTCAAGTGACATACTACACTCGGCTAAACGATATGGCTTCCCTCTAGTGATAATTACATAACTCATGTACTTGTACAAAGTAATACTGCTGGTCACTATCAAGCCATCGGTGATAAGGTAGATATGGCGCCTAAAATAGAGAGCGCTCCTGAGAAGAACAGACACGTTTGCTCACAAACTGCAGGGATTTTACGAAGATTCGTCAATAAAAAATCTACTTGAAATATGAAGTAAGCGCTTCTATTGTGTTTCCTTGGGATTTAAGGTCTTTAAATAGAATTGTTAATCGAAGAAAGAATCCTCGGTCTGCCATGTGCTTGACGACGTTACAAGGGAATTGTTTTCCGTACTTTCCCAGCTTTCTGATGATTGCGTGTTCTCCCGTAAACTGATCGCGTACAAAATAAATAATGTGGAAATATATTTCTGGAGTCTCCAAAGTAGTCGAAGAGAAAAAGAAGAAAAAAGCCCCAAAAGCTGCCCGTGATAAGTCGAAGGAATATAAGAAATCAAGGACCAGGAAGTTTTTAACAAAATGGCAAGTTGGCCAGCCGTGGTTAAAAATTGATGAAGAGAAAGGTATGATCTGCGTGTGGTGTGTTGCCAACAAACAAACTTTGATCGCTCCGAATGTTTTGAACTGGACCAGATTTATGGATGGCTGCACTAGCTATAAAACGGAGTCGATATCATAATATGAGAAAAGTGCAGCCCATCCTCTGAGGCCAAGATGTCAGAGGAGATGGTGCTAAAGAAACTGGAAGAAGAACTGCTGTGAAGAGAAACTGAAACTTCCTATTTACTGTGGCACATGTTGATATTCTTTTAGTGTTGAAATAAATTTCAATGGACGTTCAATAGTAAAAATAAAAGATGACTGAAATGGTTGGAAAGACAGGGGGGGGGGAGAGAAACTTTTGGGCGAGTGAAAACTGGTCCGGGTGAGTTAATTTTAAGGGTCACTCGCCTGAATGGCGAGTGCTCTCAAAATTAAGTGTCCAACCCTGGAGATGAGCAGAAAGAAGATTGATTTTAAAATAGAAGGGGAGATCCATGTACCAGATTGTTCATGCACATACCATAGAATGGGTTTGTGAGGCCTTTGGACATAAAGTAAAAGCTTAGAGCACAGGGGGCCCAGACAAGCGACGAGTCTGGTTGTCTATTCGAAATATAAAGGAATGTGTGGGAGAATATTGAAGAGTCTTGTTATCGTAAACTTATATCATGAAATGTCTGAGTTAAAGCTTAAAATAAATGTAAACCTACCTCACTTGCTGTGTATTGTCGTTTCTGTGGCTCTAAATGGCGAATTTCAGTGATTTGGTGGGTTTTGCGTTGACTGTTACTATATGTTATAAGAAGGAGACAAGGGTGGAAAGCTCATTTTCGACCGCTCTAGCGCGAAGCCAATTTTTACCCAGAAATAAGGATCACCCGCCTTCCGAACTGAAAACCAGATAAACTGAACGGTTGACACTTCTTCTCGTCAAATTCAATCGAAGATCCATTCAAAATCCAAGCACTAATTGCCAAAACATTTTCGAGAAATGCAGCTTTCGAGGCGATCAGCATCTGCGGCCCCAATTACGTGTGCCAAGGAGCAACCGTCATGCTGTCTGCCTCACGCTGATTGGATGATGCTAAACAATCCCCGATTACAAATGCCTCACGTGGGAGGGGAGTCAGGGGCATATTCATACCAGCGATTCATCTACTGACTAGCCTGGTGTGAGGTTTATGTCGCGTGACCGAAACCCGACACGACGGCTCACACCAGGCTAGTCAGCAGATGAATCGCTGGCACGAGTATGCCCCTGACTCCCCTCCCACATGAGGCATTTGTAATCGGGCATTGTTTAGCATCATCCAATCAGCGTGGGGCAAACAGCATGACGGTTGCTCCTTGGCACATGTAATTGGGGCCGCAGATGCTGATCACTTTGAAAGTTGCATTTCTCGAAAATGTTTAGGCGGTTAGCACTTGGATTTTGAATGGATCTTCGATTGAATGGGACGAGAAGAAGCGTCAACCTTTCAGTTGATGTGGTTTTTGATTTGGAAGGTGGACGATTCTTATTTCTGGGTGAAAATCCGCTTGGCGCTAGAGCAGTCGAAAATGAGCTTTCCACCCTTGTGTCCTTCTTATAACGTATAGTAACAGTCGACGCAAAACCCACCAAATTGCTGAAACTCGCCATTTAGAGTCACAGAAACGACAATACACAGCAAGTGAGGTAGGTTTACTTTTATTTTGAACTTTAACTCAGACATTTCATGATATAAGTTTACTTTAATAAGACTCTTCGTTATTCTCCCATACATTCCTTTATATTTCGAATGAACAACCAGACTCGTTGCTTGTCTGGGCCCCCTGTGCTCAGAGGTGGGCCATCCATAAACACCCACATTTTCTGGTATTCATTCGAACAGTTGTGGATAGCATTGTTTTTGGAAGGTTCTTCTCCTTCTACTTTCCATGTAATGTCTGTTGACAGTGCCAACAGTAAACATAATTAGTGTAGTGTATGTGTGTACTTTGGTTTCATGAAATGTTTGAAAGTGAACCTTGCAGTAACAAACCCTACTTAATATATAGTAGTGGAAATAGGCTTGGAAAAAATTCAGATCAGTACATGATTTGAACCTATGACCTCTGCAATACCGATTTCCACTACTATTAAGTAGGGTTTATTACTGTAAGATTGCTTTCATACATTTCATCAAACCCAAGTACACAGTCACATATGAATTTCCTATATTTAAAAGTCACAGAGTTATAAACCTTTTCAACCTTAACTTTAGGTGCCACCATCACATGGACTAAACCCACTCCACCACACACCCAAAAAGACAACAAAATCCGAACCACAACAAAAGGCTTTAAGAGCAGTGTTTCTGAAATACAGTTGGAATGGCAGGTCACTGTATCACCTGGGGAACTGATGGGTGTGTCATGGTTGATTAATGGCGATGTTATTGGTCTAAAACAACCAGATGGGAAAGTAACTGTCTCTCCAAAGTATCAAACTGAGTTCAGCATCATTTCTAGTGATCAAGCAACCTTAGTTGCCCATAATGTGACAGCAGCTGATGGGAGAACATTTAATTGTGAGGTTCAACTCACTGACCTTTCGCGCTGGAATGATAAAATCAAAGTGGTGATTTATGGTGAGGAATTTTTTTTTTATTTGAGTAAGCTCCTTTATCAATATAACTGTTTGTATTGTTAAATAGGTTTCAGTTAGTCATTGTGATGAATAGCATTAAAAAAGAGAAAAATTTGTTTATCTCAAGATGTAGTCAATTTGGATGCGGATCCCTATGTTTGTCTGTATACTGGCAATCTTCTTCAGCCAATGAGGTGAATTGAGTAAGCATCTATATGCTGTAGTGCTCAGCTGTAATTGGAAAGACTTCCTTGGCTGAGATTGGTGCGTCTTTGGATCAGGTTCCCTCAATTGTCTATTGCTGCATGGCTCTCTCACCATTGTATTTTTTAATTGTTTGTATCCAGGCTTCCACTATCCCTATTGATGTTGTTAGGGTGAAGTCTAGAGTGAATTGCCTTTTTACCCTGCATGTAAGGTGAATCATGATCAATAAACTTAACTTGGTTCCAGAGGGGGTGATGTCCCATATTGTGGGTGTGCTCTGAAAACCTTCCATTATCTCCAAGGAGAGGAAACATCTGTTATCTGTCCTTGTTTCCAATGGTTATCATTCCTCTTTCATGCAGAGGATAACAAAATCAGAGACACCTACTGCCAGCACTGAATCCCCCACCAAGTTTAGAACATTCTGGGAGGAAGTGCAGTGGGTCTCAAAATTGAGGCAGCTGGTCAGGAAACTACAAGCCTGTTGTAGATGCAATTAACTTCGAACAACAGCATAATCGCAACCCCTTCTCCCTGGAAATTTGCAGAATATCTAGACTCGAAGGACTTATTGGTATCAAATGATTGGAATAGACCATGTTCTTCCAATAGGATATCCATGTAAGCAATAAGAAAGAAAGGCATATCTCCTCTTATATGCTTGCAGCCTCTTACAAATAGTCTATCTGGATCTCTTCCTGAACCTTAAAATGGCAGTTTGCTTGAAGAGCCTGAGGAAATTTATCACATGCCAAAGGACCCAACTGAGCATTGTCACCAGAAACTTGTTCTGCCTGATAGATTTTAACTACATGCATAAAAAAATCAGATTACTTTGTGAGACAATTTGTTTATGTCAGATCTATTAAGAAGTATTTGTCACTTGAACTGGATACAGATTAACTCGAGATGAAACGGTAGCCACTTGTTTACAAAGTTTAGATACAATGAAATATATGAAACTCATATATTCTGAACTGCGGTATTAGATACGTATGATGCACGATCCTCGCAGTAGATAGCGCTATTTAAGCAATAGCGAAAATCAGACCTGAAAAAAAAATCAGGCCTGTA